CACCAGTATCGGCCCTCACCCAGAAGGCCGTGCGAGTCCTACAATCCAGCCTTCCACAAGCAGTGGCATCATAGCGCTACACTGAGCACAAAACTACTGACAATCACAATTTAACAAAAGAAAAATACTCCTATATTAGCAATTCTACTGATACCTACTGACAATCTGAATCGGTCTTCTCCAGATACATTTGCATCTATATAAATCCTTCAGAACTGTGACACAATTTTCCACAAAACACTCATATGTTCTTCACTTACATATACCTTTATCCATATTTTCTGGAATTATATGGGAAAGTAGTTAATCAGCTGAGGATGGACCAACCCTGGCGTTTCTAACCTTCCCTCCCTGGGCTGGTTCTGAACCACTTTCCCTTTCTAGTTTTCCACAGGCAGATCCTGTTTGGCCAGGGATGGAATATCAAAACAGTGATTATACCATTCCCTAACACGGCAGTAACCAATTCGACTTTACATTATTGTTAGATAGCCTCTATTTGTGTCTCCCCTGAGACATTTACAATCTACCCCTGAAGGAGCAGACAACCTCTGCTGCCCTCTTTTACAGGGAAAAATCAGCTTACCTACAGATAATGCTGATTTTTATAATATCCCACTGCAGATTGAGCACTGATTCTTTTCAGTCTCTCATTTGCTTCTTTATGCCCCCCTGCACAGCCTCAGTAGACGGACTGGATAGCCATCTAACCCGTAAGAACTGTCTAATGCGTCATTTCATAAGAAAAAAGTACAAACTACTCTGGCATAAGGAACAGTTCCAAAAGAGTAGTACCGAGTAGAAAACCTGAAGAGGAGCTGTCATTTGTACCACTTAATAATTTATATGATCTCGTAGAAAGGTAAAAAATATAAGTCCTAATTAGGTCAACAATGGCAGTTAATTTGAATAACAAGGAGAAGCTTTGCTTCCTTGGTGGTTTCCCATCTGGGTATAGTCCTCTCCGGGCTCTCTGCCTGCACTGATTGCCTGTCTGACACAAGCCAATTGGAAAAGCTCAAAACAAGGTAATAACATACTTCCATTCCGCAGGGGAAATCCAGTAGTGAGCTGTAATTTGCACTGACCTCTGCCTTGCTTGCAACTGATTGTCCTCACAATAAGTTTGTAAGTATATCCGGTGCTGGGCTATCCTTCCATGTGTTATTCACCATCATATCCCTCTACTGATGTCATATTAAACTGCACTACGATTTTGAAACACTTTACTGCACTGATCCGTGCATTACCACAAACCCGAGACAAGACAGAGGAATTCTCAGGCAAAAAAGCAAATCACTTCACCTTCTTGCAGAGGATAATGGAAATACTATGCAAAACAATCTCAATTCTGTTCGAATTCCAGCCACTCTTTGTTGACATCTGGATTGCCTATACAGCCGAACCTTTATTTCATTGATGTTTTCTGGATAGTCACATTTCAACCTTTGCAGTGTGACCACAAAAACTCCAGTGAGTTTCTCAAACCTCCATGCTGGCGTCAGTAGTGGTTGGTTGTGGTTATGCAGTAAGATCTGAAATTTGAATATTACTGAAATTTAACACTGCCACGTGTCCCTAGCCAGGAGCCAATGGGGTTTGGCATGGTTATATTCGACCAGGGCTTTCTCAGTTTGTCCCTGCCTCTTGCTGGGTGTCCCTGGTGTTATCAGTCAGAGCAGCACCCATTCTCTGTTTGCTGCCAAAGCTCGGGTGTTGGCACACAGGGTCTCACAAGGATGCAGACAGCCTGGCAGCGCACAACTCGGGCCTTGCACACAGTGTTATCAATACTCTTGTGCTGGAGAAAAGCTTGTACTGGTGAGTTGAGCTGATTAGAAAGTGACCCAATTCTGGAAAAGAGCCATTACATCCAGTTCAGTTTCCTGTCCTGTTAATACGGACCTGGAGCACCAGACTGCTGGGATCCATGGTGCCAGTGGGGACTCATTTTAGCTAACTGGATTTTAAGGGCCTTGATCTAGAAAACTGGAGGGGAGCCCCACTGAAAGGGGATGTGTGAAGAGAGTTTGCAGGGAGTGGGGGTAATGTTGCGTTCTTCTTGTTTTTGTGTTTTCTTTATGAAAATGTTTTACAAATGGATAAAGGAAGTTAGACCTTTCTTACAAAAAGAGACGAGGGGGGGAAAGCGGACGGACAGCGGCGTGGACGAAACTTCTATTTTTCCATAATGAAAGGCTGACTTAATCCTTATACCCAGATTTGTATTTCCCTTTGGAAAATTATACACCCATGGAAAAATATGAGCCTTGTGAATGTCTGTTGGCATCCGGTGGCACCACACCAAACCAAACTATCAGTTACTGCGGAGTTTGTTAGCTCCATTTTGTGCTTGGTGTTGTGCCTCATTCATAGTCTCTTATTTTCATAAAGAGAGGTCTCTGTACCACCTCTGGTGTTCACATTGTTTACAAATAAACTTTTAAGGAAACATCTGCTGCATGAATAGATAACCCTGTGACCTAGCTCCTAGAAGCACTATACAAGTATACTGTAGCAACTTAGAGGCTACAATCCCACAGTGGTTGAACCCATGGCTGGCCTATCTGCAGCTGTCATCCTCAGCTCCAGTTAACTAGGACACCAGCTACTCTACAGTACCTTCCCCACACTCTAGCGTGCTAGCCAGAAAGGACAGGACAATAATAACACATTGCATTAACCGTGCATTCAATAAAGAAACCAATCCAAGCTAAAAGCATCCTATTTCATTCTCCAAATTACTTTCCAAAATCCAGAATGCTTAAGAAAAATGTGTCTTCTTCTTCACGAAAAACACTATGTACATTGCATTTCACTCTCATCCAGTCTAATCTCAAGTTTTGTTATACCACTCTACAGCACATAACATGTGAAATGTAAAATGTTCTGGCAATGACATTTACACCCTCTTTACTACTGAAAAGTCACAGCTGTGGTTCAGAGACCTGTGACCAGCCCTCACCTGGGAGTGATAAGGATATGAGAAGCCTGCACACTGTATGGCCCCACTACCGTCTGCTGTTGGCTGAGCATAGTCTACCAATCAAACATTTGTGATAGAGATTATAAACTTCTCATCCAGGCTGTGGAATCAATGCATTTTGGTATTTTAAGACACTGGGGAAATTTCCTGCTACATGATTGGTAAATCACATACAACGGACGATAACTGGAGCGAAACGCTGTGAATGACCTGCGCTTAAGAAAGCACCTGACACTGGCCTGTCTTCTGATAGGCCTCTTCCAGACATACCTTTTTACTCTTTGTGTGTGAAATATCATGTATGCATTACATACAGTAATCAGACAGTCAGAGCATGTGTTAATCGCGCTACCCAGGGTCACTGTACTGTTTTTTTTCCCCGCTGATTCTAGTACAGACTCCTTTCCCAATTGCAGGAATAAGCTGCATTTTGGCAGGTCATAGACACTGTGGATCTTCAAAATGCACATCAAAGGATTATACATTACTTTAATATTGATAAATCTGCTCCAGCAAGCTGCCAAACACAGATCTAACTTCACCTGCAACACTGTGTGGCTTTGCACAGGCTGAAGAGGCTCCCTCTTGTGAAACCATATTTAAAGACGTTTTCCTCCCAACTTCCTCTCTCTGCGTGCGGTGTCAGAAGGCCACCGGCCTCATCCCAGGCATTTCCTGTGTTCACATTATCTGAGCTGCCTGGGGATATCCTTCAGAAAGCCTGGCTGACGGCTCACCCTGCCAACACTGTGCTGGCTCTGCCCCCTTGTGGGAGACCGTGATAAAACAGAAATACAAAAAAAAATATTTATTAGAAACATTCTTCAAAAATTTACAAACGTAGATAAAAATCACACACTTTTCTTTTCACAGTTATGTCAGTAGTACATATTTTATAAAGATACATCTGGTATTGTAGGTCATCACATTATCAAATCTGCTCTTTTTGAACATTTATTTTAGCTAGAAAAACAGAAATCTATCACAACACAGCTCTAAACTAAAAATAATTTAAACATCACTGGAGTTTGGATGTTCTCCTTACATTTGTGTGGGTTTCTCCCAGGTCCTCCCACAGTCCAAGGACCTACTGCGAGATTCAATGGCTTCTGGGAAAACTGTATGTCTGTCCGTGTCTGCCCTGCGATGAACTGGCGTCCCTTCCAGGGTGTATCCTGCCTTGCACACACTGCTTGCCAGGATAGGCTCTAGCTCACCTGCGATCCTGAACTGAGTGAAGTGGTTAGTAAATGGATGGATGTGGCAACAGTATCACTGATTTCGCTGGTGCTCAAAAAGTTCTATCTATTGATTCATTATGAGAAAGCACAAAGCCGGACCGCACCTCCCTCACTGGACACAAGGCCGGAGCGCTCCCTGGACAGGATACCAGTCATCTGAACATGGTGAATATGCCCAATTCGAGGATGACCAGTGGCTTCTGGATTTAGCATTCCTCACAAACCTGACTGAACTGCTCAATGAGCTGAATGTGGAGCTGCAGGGACCAAATAAAAATGTCATCGACATGATCAGCAATGTCAACCCGTTAAAAAAATTACAAGTGTTCTCAAGTAAGCTTCTCAGTGCCAATGCTCACATTAAGGTAGGATATTCTTTTTTCTAAAATGTGGAACATGACTTGTTCACCTATAGCATGAGTCACTTGCTTTTATTTGCTGTCATTTTAGTGATGGGTATCATTACTGTACTGATGTGTCCACAGTCTGTTTTCCCTATATCAGAGCTTCCAATTCACACTGGTAGAGCGTGCTGGACTGGTAAATGAAAAAGTAGATCAACCATGAAAAAAGGTTGGGCACCCCTGGTTTAAAGTAATTTCTGCACATCTAGCATACAGACAAGAAAAAGTTCAGAATCGGTTTTAAGAGTTTCCAATTAAAACACAAAGATCTTCCCAAAATACCGTTACCACAAAGGTAAAAAAACGGGTCTTCTGTTTTGACCTCTTTGAATCGTTAGCCTCCATTTCAATAAAGACTGGTAATTACTATGAAGTTCCTAATTAATGTAATTAAAATGATACTGAGCTGAAGCTCAGAACACAGCAGTCACAGTGGCCTTGGTGTTGGCCATCGGCAGGTGGGGTGTGAATTCCTCAGCCTCATTATTGCTTCTTATTCCCGGCCCCGCCTGGGCCCGTGGACTTCGCTGGCCCCTTCTCCCGCGCCTCGGGCTCGTTGGCCTTGTTGCTCTTGACCTTGCGCAGCCAGGCTTTGCTCTTCGGGGAGGAGAAGGTGAGGGAGGCCTTGTCGAACTCCAGCGGGAAGATGCCCACGTCGCCGTCGAAGCGGTTCTTGGCCACCTGCAGAGACCGCCGGCCTGGGCTGGACACCAGCTTCTTCTCTTGCAGGATCAGCACGTTGTCCGCCTCCTGGCTGGCCTGCCGAGAGCACAACCACAGTGTCAGAGAGTGGCCACTGCTGCTCACCTCCAGCCCCGGGGGCTGAACACCTCGTGTCCTCACACAGAGGCTGAGGTGCAGATGTGGACCAATAATTCTTGATTAAGAATGCCGAGCAACAAGGGAAGGTTTATTCCGTGCTGAAAAGAAAAGAAACAACGTTTCAGCTGTGGAGCCTTCTTCAGGTGTCACACCCACAGAAGGCTCCACAGACGAAACGTTGCATTTCTTTTCTTTTCAACATGGAATAAACCTTCACTTGTTCCTTGGCAGCCTACGCATGCTGACGCAGCTACCTACTTGAACTTCTTGATTGAGAATTGCAGGGAGGTCAAACAAAATGTTAGGATATATAGATAAATGGCTATGGTTTCCTCCCACAGTCCAAAGATATGCAGGAAGGTAAACTGGCTTTATGGAAAATGGTCCTGCTGCGAGTGTGTGCATGTCTGTGTCTGTCTGCCCTGCGATGGACTGGTGTCCTGTCCAGGGTGTACCCTGCCTTGCACCCACGGCTTGTCAGGACAGACTCCAGCCCCTCCTGCATTGGATAAAGACGTTAGAAAATGGATGGAACGACCGAGTCCATTAGCGATTCCACAAAAAAAGAGAGAACTTTTAAAGAAAATTACAGCAGGCCAGGGTGCAAAGTTGGTTGAAACTGTTGAAAGACCGTGGCTTATACTCTTCTCCTGAACTGTGCCACTCGCAACTTTGTTTTGAAAGCATCCGGATTTCCATGGTTGAATCTGTGCTTGAAATTCACCGTCTGACTAAAGGACTTTTCCGTATAAACACACCTTTCTCTATAACCATGCCAACCTCCATTAATGCGCATACAGACTGAGGCCAATCAGCTTATTGTATAGCTCAAACTTGGCTCAAATTTAGCTTTGCCATCACAAAGGGTTTTAATACTTATGAATGAAAAAAGGAAAAGTCGGAACTGCTTATTATTTCTTTCTTTTTGCTGTGAATGTGGGGAGAAGGGTGTGTATTTAACAAATAATTGTTACTTTGACGTGTCGAGACTGAAAGTTCTAAAGCAACTAAATGTGAAAACTGCAGTTTGCTGTGTTCTGTGTACTTTCAAATGGCACTGCATATCATATTTACTCAGCCCTGTACATTGTACGATACAAACCTGAAATCTAAAGCAATGATCGGGAACACAACTTACGAACAGAATGGAAAACAAGGTTAGTGGAAGAGCCACTGACCATAACTGCACCATGCAAACTGAGACAACCTACAGTACAGTGAGGCCTCAGCACACAGCACTGAAGGCAGCCAGGTAGCTGTACTCCATGTGTACAGTTAACAGAAGCAACTAGCAACATACACTACCAGAGAGTTCAGGACACACCAGAGAATTGAGAATTTGACCCAAAGCTGAACCCCAATGCGATCTAAATCCAGATGAGTGGAACAGTCACCAGGACGTGGTCAGGGATCGAGTGGCATACAGAGGACATCCAAGGAAAAAACCCTTGTGGTCCCTAAAGCGCTCATCCAGACGTAGACCAGGCTCATACACGGACCAGGAGCTCCGTGGTGTGGCTCACCTTGGCCGTTCCGAAGATGGAGGCCGTCTGCAGCTCCTTGTCATCCTCCTCTTTGCGGGGATGGATGATGAGGGTCACGTGACAGCTGTTTTGGGTGGCAAACTTCCTGAAGGCACCAATAATGTGGTCCTGCAGTGCAAACCTGGAGAGAAAGAGTCATGACGATACCATGAACAGCATTAAAACAAAGGCCAAGCTTGCTTCTCAATTTCTTCCAAATGAAAAAAAAAACAATTAACATTTTTCAAAGTGGAATTTTACAATTAAGATGAAAAACCATGCCTACTGATTTTTGCCAAGTTCCTTCTTAAGAATACATGCTACCTATCGGATCCCGGCTCACTCTCAGAGCAATACTGGCAGAACTGGAGAGACAAGTTTTAGATAAAAATCAAGTATTTTTTTTTTTAAACTGAAAAGGGCAGCGAGGCTTACTTGTCAACAGAGAGAGACTCCTGGCCCATCATGAACTGCAGGTTATCGATGACCACGTGGCTGATGTCATACAGGTACACTGCATGGTGCATGGTGTCCAGCACGGGCCTGGGAGACAAAGTGTGTGGTCAGCACACACCGTAAGAAAGCTTGGGCAGGAGAGGAGTCACATCCACCACATCAAGCCAAGAATCTCATCAAGCCACATCTTATAAGACGTGAAACTGACTTTGACAACATGGCCCGTTTTCCTCCAGGTGCTCAGGTTTCCTTCCACAGTCCAAACACATGCTGGTAGGTTAAATGGCTTGTGGGAAAACTGGTATGAGTATGTGCATGTTTTTATCTGTTTGTGCCCTGTCATGGACTGGCATCCTGGCCAGGGTGTGTCCTGCCTTCTGCCTGGTGCTTGCTGGGATAGGACTTCGGCTCCCCTGCGACCTTGAATTGGATGAGGTGATGAGAAAACAGACGTATGGATGGATGGAATGTCTGTAGAGATCACCAGTTCAACGAGGGCTTAATTAAGAAACAGATCTGTGGCCACAAACTGCAGAAGCAGGCCCCTGCAGCGACACAGGAAGCTGTGAGCTGTAACTATCTGGGTCTGATACGTTACTTGATGCTCTGCTGCCCGTGGAAAGTCATGAAGTAGAGAGGCAGGTCCTCGAACTTGTCAGCCCAGGAGTCGTACTGCTCCAGGCTGTCCTCCAGCCTCTGCATGGAGAACTGGGTCAGCATGATCTTGGCCAGCCGCACGTTGTTGATCTCGAAGCTGCCCCACAGCGTGCTCACGCCTTGCATGCACAGGTCCAGGGCGCACTCGCTGATGAAGGTGGTCTTCCCGCTGCCGGTCGGGCCTGGGAGGGGCAGAGGAGAGAGAGAGAGAGAGAGGAGCGCTGTGAACCCCAGAAATCAGTAGACTCTGGCCCGCCTGACCATGCCACGCACAGCTCTCGCAGTTCGCCATCTTTCCTAAACCTTTCCAGGCCCTTTCAGAAGTTTTACACTAGAAAGAGTTCAAACACTACACAGCTTCATCAGTACCATCATCAGATCGTCAACCCAAAGTTATTTAAATCACCACATTTTAATGTGAGCACTGTTAAGACAAGGCTCTGGCTGCATAGCTGGTTATTTCAGCATTACAAGCTTTCTTCAAAAAAAGTACCTGTGAATATCAACAATTCCATAGATGACTATATTAATGTAATAACTGAAACAAGCACCAAACGTTGGTGTTATTAATTCACTCAGACTCCCTTTAAATACCACTAGGTCCCATAAGAAGCTCTGTTAACATTTAGCGGTGAAACTACACAAAAATTCAAAAGATTTTTAAAGGGGGTGAATACTTTTTTACGGCACTGTAAGCACTCAAAAATAAAGTATAACTTCTCCTGAAACCTGAAAAGAACAACATTCTGAATGGATTCTTAGTTTTTTTGTATGGAAGAGAATGCAGCTCCTCGCGGGATGTTTCGGTGGGGTGCTACACCCTGCAGCCAGCTCTAGGCATCACGCTTGACAATACTGCCAGCGCCCCAGGCCTGGGCCCAAGCCGCCAGCGCTCACCGGTGAAGACGGACAGCTCGCCCTTGCGGTGGCCCTTCAGGATCTTGTTGAGCTCGGGGAAGCGGGTCCATTTCACCCCGGCCACCTGGTCCTTGTTGGCCAGCTCCCCGTAGACGTCCTCCCGGAGCTGCCGGAAGGAGACGATGGACTTGTGGGCGGCCGGGATGGCAGCCTTCAGGATGCGGGCGAGGTTCTTGCCCTGGGCCAGGGCCTCGCTGGGGCAGGGCTGGGCCTCTCCGGGCCGCACCAGGGAGCAGCGTTTCAGGCCCAGCTTGCGGGAGAAGATTTTGGAAGCCTCCCAGGAGCGCATGTCGCCTCCCAGCCAGAGGAACACCTTCTTGAACTGCTCCAGGTAGGGCAGGAGGGCGGGAGGCAGGCAGCTCGTGCCCCGCGGCAGGGCCACGCTGGGCAGCCCCGTTGCCTGAGTGACGGCCAGCGTGTCAACCTCCTGGCTGGTCAGCACAACCTCCGCATCCTTGCGGCCAACCAGGTGGAGCCCAAACAGGTTGCGGTACGCGCCAGGCCGCGGGAAAGTGACTTCGGAGTAGACGACCTTGTCGTTGCCCCCACGCTGGGCGGACAGCAGCTTGAGCCCCCTCAGGCTGGAGTCCCACGCACTGAACCAGGGGAAGACCAGACCCTTAGTTGGCTTGAAGAACCTGACCCCAAATTTCTTCAGGGTGGCATTCGAGATCTTGCCCATGCCGAACATCGCCCTGACCAGCTGGGTTTCTTCGTCAGGAAGTTCGGAAAGTGGCACCGAGCTTGCCCAGATCCTCAGTACCTCCCGGTGGTCTGCCTCTCGCTCCCCCTGCTCCTCTTCGCTCTCTCGGTATCCCAGCAACACCTCTGGGGTCAGAGAGGAGCAGCGCTCCTTCTGCAACACCTCCACGCAGTCCTGCAGGTCCTCCCAGCTGCCCTCCACCTGCGTCTCCTTGCAAAGGAACTGCCCAGTGGTTTTGTCGATGAACATGGAGAAGCTGTCCCTCTCCGGCCCTTCGGCGCCCCCTTCTGGCTCCCGGAAAAGGCTGCGGGCGTGCAGACAGCTGTAGCCATCGTGGAAAGGGATGTTCTTGGAGCGCAGGTACTGCTTGATGTCCGTCACACTCACTGGAGAGGCTGGTAGGTCACTGGGCGTCTTGAGGACTTTTTTAAAGGTCCTGCAGCTAAGGAGTAGCCCAGGGGTGCGGGGCTGTGCCTGCAGCAGGGAGGGGGGCCGGGGGCCTCCGAGGCTCAGGAAGGGGGCTGAAAAGTGCCTCAGTGTCCTGTGATGGAAGACTGCCACCCGGAGGACAGAGTAGGCCCTCTTCATGAACAGACCGGACCTCAGCATCAGGTCCAGCTATCGGAGAACAGGCATTGTGAAATCTGAAATTGTAAGAAGAAATAAATAATTAATACACCTTTTTGTATTAATAATATTAAAATATTAATTTTGCAAATATTTGATATTGATAGGGAGAGAGGAGAACTAAGAGACGCCTCCCCTAAGTCGAGCTTTCATATGCAAGGGGTGGACCATTAAATGATGTCCAGTGCCAAGTCCTCACTGTCAACAGTAAGCCACCTGACTGTGTGAGGAAGGCAGGGCAACATAATTTGGGGGCCATATTGACTTAATGGCCAGTGTTTAACAATCGGGATTGGTTCTGCTCCATTTTTTTCTTTTTACGTCAGAGCCCACCTTTTACTCAGTGTCTTCTAATCTTCCTGGTGCACCCAGCAGGACAGCTGGCAATCAACACACACTGAAGTTCTCACTGTTTTGCCCAGACACCACAATATTTACACCACAGCAGTAGCAGCAGCAGAAAGCAGCACAGGATTGTCTTTCTCCCCCTGTCCTGGATGATTTGCTGCAGAGAGACAAGGTAGGGGGAGCACATCCCGACACTGTTGGGGACTTTTTGGCCTGGAGAGAAAGCTATTGGCAATCAAGAGACTAAGCAGACATTAATTTCTTTCTTCAGTGCGGCAGAAGGAGGCATCCTAGGAAACCAGACTGCTCTTATTCATGACAGTGGTACCCTTTCTCTTCTCTTTTGGGACATTTCTTTTGGTTTACTGGAGACTCTTCTTTGTTTTGAATGTGTATCTAGGGTCACTGGCCGTGACGCACGTGATAAAGCAATCATTACACTTTGTAATCGGGTGTACCGGTTGCCTAGCAGGTATAATAAAAGTCCAATATCAAAATATTACTGAATATATATTATTTTTATATCTTAAAAACTTCTGCAGGACAATCACTGATAAAGGAACTCTGTAGTAGAATTTCACTTATTCTGGACGAGAGCTTGGGAATGTTCTTAATTCTCTATTTGGGTTGCCGCGGAATTAAAATGTCAGCGACTACGTTTTTAGTAGCTGTCGACAAAGGCAGACCCACAGTTTCACGTTAACGTCTTACTGTACCTCTGATACTACAATTGGGCTTCTCTAGTAACCGCTCTCGAGTAAAAGGTAACGGTATTATTACTCAAAAGACGTCGTCTTGCACACAGAGTGGACAACTCCACTGTTCCAGAGAGACAGGCAGGACAGAGGAAATTATCTCACTGATATTAATAGTAAAAATGACTAAAACTAAATATTATGTATCAAATCGCTATATTATTAAATTATACACTTAACAAGCACAGGTGCATTATGTATTAATTAAAGGTCGTGCCTTCTCTGTTCTTCACTGCATATATTAAACAGCAACCAAAGAAAGAGCACCATTATTTTATGTTTAAAAAAAAACTCGGTGTACATTAACAATCGTAACATCTGAAAACAAGACTGGAATCTAATTATGATATGCTCGTCGTGTGTAAAAGCATCTAGCAACTCCTCCCAAAACAGATCCATACATTAAGAGTTTCCCTTTCTTTCTTTTTTTTTAAATTAAAACACTCAACTTATCATAACCCGTTTAAAAATACAATAATTCACCTGATCTTGTTCCCTCTGCAAGACAGAAAGACGCGCGGCGGCTACACCACGCCGGTGTGCTCCAAAACACCTCCGGGTGCAACAACGATCAAATGTTCGGGTTTTTATTATTGTCGGGAGACACGAAGTCAATGAATCACTCAGTAAACACAAACTTTCTGTATAAATATTTGCATTATTTGTTTAAGTTTTACAAAAATAAATATCCTAACTTTAATCTAACAGTGAACAAACGAAACTACCCTTAAGAGTCAGGTAGTCGATGCAGTTGTCCGGAATGAATACGTGACGTACTTACTCGTACACATGTAACTGGGGTCAGTGTGTTGCTGGTTATTTTCGCTGTAATCACAATCGTAAACTTGATGCCACTCAAATAGTCGCCAAGGAGTCTTTATTTTTTCGACAATGACTTCGAGAGGGACTCCAAGTCGCTTTCTCAAGAGCGTGCTGCAGAACGGCGTGGGGCGCTACGTGTGTCAGCTAAAGCGCCTGTCTCTCGTCTTCTCCAAGGTCGGGCAGAGCTCACTAGGGGCCAGGTGAGGTTACCGCAGTTACAAACTTTCCCAATCTGAGCACCCGTCGGTCAGGGCTGATCAACACAGCTGCATCGGACTGTTCCCATTCGTGTCCCTGATCCGTCTTCTGCCTGCCCCACTTGACCTGGGATTAACGGGCCTGCCGCACAACAAAACTTGGTCTGTTGGGATATGAATCTAAAGGACACATCCCAGTAGCGGTTTATTTCTGCTGTAAAATGCACATAAATAATTTTCATCCCAGCGTGGGTGATATCGGGAAATATTTCATAACTGCCGTGCAGTAGGCGTGTGCATTCTTTTATTTAAAATAGTATGGCACAAAACAAGTTAGTGGCCACAGGCGTTTATTATGTCTTGCCAGCAGCCATATCACTCTGCAAATCACAACTGGCAACCCACTGAAGCTAAGCGGGTGTGAGCCTGGTCAGTACCTGGATGTGAAACCTGCTGGGAAAAACTAAGGTTGCTGCTGAAAGAGGTGTTAGTGGGGCCAGCAGGGGGCGCTCACCCTGCGATACATGTGGGTCCCTAATGCCCCAGTATAGTGAGGGGAACACTATATTGGCCGTCCTTTTGATGAGATGTAAAAGAGAGGTCCTCACTCTGTGGTCATGAAAAATCCCAGGGCGTTTCTTGAAAAGAGTAGGGGTGTAACCCCGGTGTCTTGGCCAAATTTCCTATTGGCCCTTACCAATCATGGCCTCCTAATAATCCCCATCTATGAATTGGCTTCATTATTCTGCTGTCCTCCCCACTGATAGCTGATGTGTGGTGAGCGTTCTGGCGCACTATGGCTGCCGTCGCATCGTTCAGGTGGGGCTGCACATTAGTGGGGGTGGAGGGGAGTCCCCATTACCTGTAAAGCGCTTTGAGTGGGGTTTCCAGAAAAGCGCTATACTAGTGTAAGCAATTATTATTATTAATTATTAACACAGATGTTTCTTTGTGTCTCTACTGTTGATATACATAAAACAACAGAACATTGTATCTAATTTCATTCGTTTTAAATTTTCTGTTGTATTTAAAAGAAGTGCCTTGACTAGTTTAAGAATGTTGTACATGTTTTATTGTCTGCAATGGGTATTTGAAGCTAATTTAAAAGCTGCACATCAGCGGCTTCAGAACTTTTTTTCAGAACTGCGCCTTTTCCTGCATTTTCCTTTGAAAGACTCGGATGACTGCAGGGGGGATCAGATGTGGTTGGAAGGGGGTGTGCGCATCCTTGAGCTGCCGTTGATGAGAGACCTGTGCTTGTTTTTCCTTAGAGAGTATATCGAAGAGGGTGTCGTGGACTTCGCCAGACAGAATCCGGGCATCGTGGTCTACGTGTCTCCTCAGAGCCACACAGTTCCCAAACTCGTAGCGGAATACCGTGAGTGTCCGTGTGGTGCACAGACCTACTCTTCATGGGTCTAGACATGTGCACTGGCTTTGAAGGAGTACCTGGCTCAGAACTATAAACAGTTACAGCTGCTTATGGAAAGATAGGTATGACGCAAGGCATTGTCAGATTGCACTCTTAAAGCCCAAACAGACTAAGCATCTTTTTAAATTTGCACCGATGTTTAATTTGAGTTCTTGTACGTCACCCTCAGTAAGGAAGTGTGATAAGCCTGAACTACCATTAATTATGTCTGGGTTTGCTGATTTATGAGTATCAAGTAGATTCTGAGTACTTTTACAACAGAGAGTCACCACCAGTGTGGCACTGATTGAGCTGGCTAGTGTTTCCCTTTGTAAGTGTGTGCAGAACCAGTCTGGGATTTGGGGCTCTCAGTAGAGGGGTTACTCAGTTTACAAACAGTGAAACACAGTCCAGAGGTCACAAGTAGAAACCGTGTGGAAGTGGATTTAAAACCAAGAACAGGAGGCATTGCTTTACACAAAGGGTTGTGGGAGGATGGGACGAGCTGCCCAAACATGTGGTTGAAGCTAATACTCTGGCTTCTATCAAAAATCACCTGGAAGAAATCCTGGGATCAAATTCACTACTAATTACCAAAGCAGTCCAGATGGGCTCTCACATGTTACTTTTCTTATGTTCTTATTTCTTCATATTGAGGGCATCATGCCTTCCTCATTTCACACCTCTCTTCACCTATCCTGACTTCACACTTCCCGATTGGCCTCTCTTTCTGTCCTCTGTTCTTGCCCCTCGCTCCTCCTCTCTCCCAGCTTTTGTTCTCCCTCTACATTACGTTTGCCTACTGCCTTGTCTTTCTCACACTTGAAGAAGGCCCCACGGCCGAAACGTTGTTTTTTCTTTCTTCTCTTTTCAGCATGGCATAAACCTATTACTTGTTCCATGTGAAAACTAATGAGACTGAAGTAATTTTATTTAAGTGTTTGATTAAGTGGACATAACGCCAGAAAACATTGTTGCTCTTTCAGTTTTACCCTCTCTCATGGCACTTATTTTTGTTCCTAGTTATAGTTTGGCAGTATTCATCCAAATAATGAGCAATTATAATTCCCTGCATTTATGAAGAACATTTAACCCTTGAGCACCATTGCCCCACATAACAGGAGGAGTAGATTTAGAAAGTGCTTTACATTTTTGTAATCTTAAAAGTCTGTTTTCTTCACAGTCTTCATAGCTAAATTTAATTTGAATATGTTGAAACCTTCTGACATTGTTTAAAAGCCCATTCAATTTTTCACATGCTCTCAGATTATAACTGAAACTACTCAGTTTGACTCTTAAATCGCCAAATAATTCATCCTTTCTTGACATCCCTGTCAAGTACCAGACGACTATAATTAGTCAGGATAATTAGGGAGGATCATCTGAAGCTTGTATTAGAAATGGCCTGAAAAGAGAGTCACCCTCTTAAGGTTTTATGTAAAAGAAGTTTAAGGAATTTTAATGAACTGGTATTATCTGCTTTTAATAAAACGGAGCAGCATGTCTCTCATCCCGTCAGTTGAAGTGTCTGGGATGTTTTTGTAAAGATTGTTTTAGCAATATTGTTTTCAAGCATGTACAAATGAGAAGATTTAGAGTAAGAATCACAGCAGCCCTTGGATAAGCCCTGAGCTGTCAGCTTTAAGTAAAAGAATTTAGCTTGTCAAACCGCCACGGCCTCTGAGACATCCCACTGCTTGTAGAAATAAAAAAAAAATACATATAAGCCCTCAGACATTTTAAACGGAGTTCTTACAGCCATTAGTTGTCTCATCTCTAAATCAGGCCTAAGAAATTTTTGAATTTTGTAAAAATTATTGATAACCAATCATTAACCTCTCATTATCCATTTTAGGTTATTAACAAACATAATTTTATGACAGACCAAAAAACAAATGGTTAATTTACAATTAATAATAGACATTTTGGTCACCCTAGTGTGTTTTCAATAAGCTGATATTTAATAATGCTGATGATTTCAAACAGCATTATTATCTATACTGTTCTGTCGATGTGGGGGCAATTATCCAACTAAACCTCCTGAGAGCAGATACTGCTGTTGGGTGGATCCATCCATTCACCTTCTAACCTTTATCCAGTTCAGAGTAGCTGCTGGCGCAAGGCACGATACACCCTGGATGGGACACCAGTTCATCACAGGGCACACAGACACACTCATACTAGGGCCAGTTTTTCCTCCTGTGGGAGGAAGCCGGAGTACCCAGAAGAAAAAAAAAAAGGGAGCCCATACAAACTCCACGCAAGCAGCACCCAAAGTCCATCCCTAGGATTGATAAGCAATGCTAAACACCTCGCCACGAGGCTGGCCGCTTAAACTTAATGACAGGAATAATCTGAAGACTGAGCTGGAACTGCACACCTTCGGGGCTACAGGCATCATCAGTTGTGTGATTACACCTTTCTTGCCTGCCTCTGTCACCTGATCTAACTGCCCCGTCCTGTTTCACTATTCCTAAAGCTCCAACAGAAATCAGTTTTTAGCAATGAGGAGCGTGAGTCACTTTTGATCCACTAGGTGGTGCACATCACACAGGCCACTCAACCCCGCAGTGTCATTTCTCTGTTTGCTTTTGAAATGTGCAGCTGTGTGACACTGGACTCCCATTTGTCCAGGGATTATAATATTCAAGGTGGACTTTTTCTTTTTTATAGGATATTCCATTAGATTTCAGTTTCAAGTCTGGAGTGTGTGTAGCCTTTAACTTGGACACACTGTCCCATAAACCAGGACTTACACAATTGCTGCATTTTAGAAGTGCTGTATTTTTTTTTCAAACCTCCTTGAGGAGCCCCTGAGGCTGTATGTCTAGACAGATGGCTGATGGGGTTGTCGCTAGCTCTCTTATTGTCAGAATCCCTTCCCAACAAGTAAGGGGGGGCTGTCCCAGTCTGCCCCCCCCATGAAACTGATCAAGTAGAGTGCCGATCTGGGTTGCTTCAGATTTCTTCAGGTGTGTCACAGGTTGTGTCCCAGTTTACGAGAATGTCTGTGTTTCTCTCGTTTGTGTTGCAGCTCAGCACTTAATCTCAGCACTTTGGCTAACTAAGCCATTTAAGAGCATTTGATTTTGCATGGACCTTGTACCTAGTGCAGGGCTCCCCTCATTTAGGGGCACTGTTTTGAGGACCAGACTTCAGACTAAGTGCAAAGAATGAACCTCCCGCTGCCCATCAATCACAGCCCCAATACTTTACCTGGACTCTTCAATAGCCCAGAGCTGTTTCTGGGTTCCTGCTGGATTTTGGCCTCTGTATGTTACTTGCAGAAATTGGGTCAGCGTTTCGATTCATTCCAAATGGAGCTAAAATTGTAGGAAGTGATTAACTTTCTCTTCAGTAATTGATTTATTGCTATAGGTTGGCAACTGTTTAACTGTTTCACAGCTCTGCTGCAGACTCTACACAGATCTGATTTGCTTGACATCTTGGCAATGTAACACGTACAGCAGGGTGCCTGTGAAGCCTTAAACTGATTGCAGAATACAGCTAAAAGAGATCTAATTAAGAAAGTAGTTCAGATAAGTGTTCATTAAGCCTTTGTAATTAAAAGCTCAGCTGGAAAGCAAACCGGAAGATGCAGGACTTGGAAACCCTGCTGCTGAACGTTTTGTGGCTTCAGAAGAAAGGCCTTCAATTTGGCCCCATTAATCAAATCATTAAGCCAATTAAGTTAGCGGAGCTGCAGGAGGATCCAACAGCAGAAGACCCTACGGCCCTCCCAGGCCAGGCAGGCCAGCTCCCCTCGGTGGCGTGTGTCTCTAACCTCTCGTGAAGAAGGGTCTTTCATTCCCCCGAGCCTGGCGGGTGGACAAGGAATCAGATATTAGTACCTCTTGCAACCAGTCTGACAGCTAATTATTCCCGAGTCACTGCGTCAGGTGTTCACAGAGGTAGGTTGTTCCGTCTGATATGAGCACTGGTGGTAAGGGTCTGAGCAGCCAGTTTTGGGTTTCCGTCACCGTGGAGCAGAGTGATTTGGTAAGGGAATGTCAGAACACTCAACACTACCCAGAGCCTGGTGCTAGTCAAGCAAGCACGTTTGAATGTAGGGGAATTGCACAGCTTCCTTGTGTACTGCTGTGTCCTAGGAATGTTTTCCAGTCGTCTAAAGCACTGGTTCCCAGCCCTGGTTCCCGGGAGGACCAGTCTGCTGTTTTCATTGTGGCTGAGCTCTGCCTCTCCAGTGCTGACTGATGTCTAAGCAAGCAAGCAGATCAGTGAAGTCCTTTGTTAGACTTCTCTGGGTGCTTTGTTGTACCTCTCACCTTTCAAAGACATGCTGGCTGGGATTTTTGGCGTCTCGGTGTTGCCCCTGTGTGTCTGTCGATGAATATGTGCCCAGATCTGGGCCAGTGTCTGGGGTTTAACCCCTGCTTGTGCCCTCAGCGTCTGGCATCGGCTTTAGGCTTTGACCTGTGATGTGAAGAGGTTGATTCCTGTAAATGGATCAAACACGTATATTGTGCTGATGGTCATCAGGCTTGGTCATGTACTCACCTAAGAAGTGTATAAAAATAGGAAGTTCCCATAACTTCCAAATGCATCCCACAAGAGACTGCAGTACCTGCAGGATTCTGGCCAAGTCAAGGGAACGGACCAACTTAAACTTCTTTAGCAACGGCTTTGGTTTTCTTGCTCAGTCTTTATCAATACTAATTCAAACTTGTTTTGCTATTTGAAAGGTAAGGTTTGTGGCAAAGACATTATCGTCATGTTGCCTAATCTTGTCTGAAAGGTGAGGAAGGTGAGGAAATTCAAGCTGCTGCTGTAGTTGGGGCTAGTGGACCAGTAGGTGGCGCTCCTCCCTGTGGACCAGAATGTCTGTAGCAGTTTCACAAGTATGGTGATGTAGAACACTCTGCTGTAGGATATACTGGCCTTTGGAGGGGATGTTAAACTAAGGATCTGTATATTTGTCAATCAAAGATCTTCCTTAATTCACCGGTTAATTCATTCTCGCTCTTCCCCTTGAGCTGCTGTGTGTCACCAGGTGGGGATGAAGTGGGTCCCCTCCTAGATGTGAAGCACTTTGGGGTTTTTTTTTAGATGAAATTATAGTCAGGGTGCAGAGTGGAATTAACTTAGTCTGTAGACCTTGCTGTCACAGCAAATGTTTGTTTATATTAAAAGTCAGAACAATTTAATGAGAAGACGATGACTTTCTTTGCAACACATGCATGGTCCTAAGCATAGTGCCCCGAGGCACCAGATCAGTGCAGTGAGGCTTGGACGCCCATGTCCTTTCCTGAAGAACACCAGACATCTGAATGTAGAAGGAACATGCAAGCTCCACACAGACAGGCACCCAAGGCAATAATCGAATCCAGGGCGCTAGTGCTTTGTGGGAGCAGCATTACATCATTATGTTGACTTCTTGAAAATGTTAGAAGCTTTGGAAATTTCCCGGAATTACACAATTTTTAGTTATTTTTGTTAATATTCCAACTTTAATTGCATAGTCAGTGGATTTACACTTAATACCCACAGTTTACCACATGGTCAGTGAACTCAGAATTGTTTTTAATCAATGATTAATGCATCGTCATTTATTATGTATATTATTAAAATAATTCAAATAATAATAATTGTAAAATTCATTGTATTCATTGGGTGTTTTACTGCTCTCTAGAACTGTTGATGTATTCTGATTTTATTTTTAAGACCTTTGAGATGTTGGTTACCTTGAAGACACCCTTTTTAAAATAAAATAGTTTAATTTCAAAGATCAAATGATTGTTACCTAAAAGAGAAGTACATTATGCAAGTCTCAAGTTTAATTGATCTGTTCATTTAGCGCCATAAACCGTACGCACATGTATGTGTTATATGTTAAATGTGTAGTGAGGTCCATCATGGGCTGGTTCTGGTTCTGATCACTGCGCTGTTCTGTCACAGTGAACGGTGCGGTGAAGGAGGAGCAAATCGCCAGCAAGACGTCTCAGGAGATCGCCCAGCTGATCACCAAGCTGACCGGGCAGTCCGGACTGGAGGTCATCCGAATCCGCAAGCCCATCCACACCGACAGCCCCAGCATCCAGGGCCAGTGGCACCCCTTCACCAACCGGCCGCCTGCCCTAGGAGTGCTTCGCCCGGGGGACCGGCAGACCCAGTGACCGTGCTCTGCTTTGCAGTGGAGTGGACTCAGGATCAGTCTGCTGCGCTGCTGTTTGGGCCATCACACGTTTCATGAGCTGGAGGTGGCTGCTGCTGCTGCTGTGTTTTGAGTGAAAGTTCCTAGGCAGACATTCAAAGATAAAATAATTAATGTTCGGTAAGGAGCTTCAGGGTGGCTCAAGCCATAAAGGCACTCATCTGGAGATCTGTTTGAGCTCTGATGTGATGTGGAGTCCTCACTGGTTCCAGCGTGAGTCCCTGCTCTGATATTTCCCTAAGCAGCAGTGCAGGTGACCCCCAGCTGCTGGGGTTTTACAGCACACACAGTGACCCCTGGGTCCTGTGCTCACTTGTCTCCGCAGAGCTCACAGCACAAAGCAGTGCTGGATATGGCGCTGTCCTTCTTCCTGCCGAGCTGACTGACATAGTGAAATTTCAGGCTGGGAGGGCAAGAAAAACAACGATTTGAAACTTAATTAAAAAATCTACTGAAACATCTTAGCTCAGCCCTTTAATATGGACAGTTCATGCAGGTGCTAACAGCTGGTAAAGCCTGAAATGGACCACAAACCGCTGTGCAGTGGGAATAATAACAAGCAATGAATGATGTAGCTGCTCTGCTGCATGATAAGCAGGGTCTCAACAGTGACAGTGAGAAGACTCCTTACAGCAGTGCTTACCACAGCTGAGGTTCCTGTGCTGGCCTCCACAATTTGTCTCCTTTTTTCTCTCTGTGAAATGTTTGGTTAATTTTTTTATTTCAATTATATCTTTAAGTAGCCAGCACACTGGCTTCATAATACTTTCTTCGAGGTTAAAAAAGATGCAGTCATTGCCCTTTATGGCCATATTTTTAAAAACATAGAACAAGCATAATGTTTTTATAACCTAATCCCTAAACTATGTACTCTGACAAGTGTTATGAGCAGTCCTGCCTCTGCTGGTGTCATGAAAGATTATGATACAGTTAAATTTAAAATGTAACCCCGATGAAGGTGTCACGCTGGCTACATTCAAATAAAGCATACGTCAGACTTTGGCAATAGTATTTTGTTGTCTGCCCCTAGACCTTTCTCTCCCTGTGATGAATGGGTCACTCTTTTCCAAGCAGGTTGTCTGCAAAACACCTCGATCACATCCAGTGTGGCTTGGGACAGCAGAAAATAAAAGTGCAAAGTTAGCGGTGCCGGCAAGCCGTCTTCCATTTCTTTTGTTAGGAATGTTTGTGCTGCTTTGCATGGTTTGTGTGGCTGGGATGTTGGTTGACTACAGTGCAGCTCTTCAATGACCTGATGGATCATCAGTCTCTGCCCTTGTAAAACTGGGGGGTGCAGTGCCCACCCCCCCTCACCCGTGTTTCAATTCATTACTCGTTCCTGTGGCTGTTTTAAATAGTGGTATAATATATATAGGCATTGTTAATAAGACACAATTTCATGGAATGCAGCTAATGTGAGTGGTGCCTGGTTTTAAACTCACTTTCTTTCTTAAGAAGGTTTTTAAAATGAAGCCATTATGCATCACGTTTCGCCTGCTTAAGTGATGGAGTGGTGCTTCTTTTATCCCTGTTCAAATTCTGACATGTTTGAAATTGTTTTTAGCTTGCAAGCCTACTGCACCGGTGTTCTTCTCCCATCAGTGCAGTGGGGAAGTGGGAGCCAGGGGTTGAGTCCTTCCTAGGGGCTGTGTTCCTCCAAAGAGTGTATCCGCACAAGGGGCATGTCTAACATTCCAGGTCTCCTCCTGATTTAAAAAAAAATGTGCTTGAACCACATGATGGTCTCAACTGTGTGTCTCCAGCAGGACTGATTGACCTCGGCAGGCACAAGCTGACCTCTTGAAATTGAGAGCACTGGGCTCACTACTTACAGGTTGTTTTAAAAATGGCAGGATCTCAACAAGAAAAAATTGAGGCATATAAAGATTGAATGTGGTGTGGGTTGTTTTTTTCTTTAAATGATAAAAGCATCAAATGTTAAAAAAAAAGCCAAATTGAAAAAGCACGTAGAATGGAACTTTTTTTTTTTCTGCTCAGATGGTGTCTGTCAGGAAATGACAGATTCCATAAGTGGGCTAAAAGTAATTTTGTTTGACTGACTTTCAGGTTCTTCCTGCACAGCAGGTTCCTGGGGCGAAGGTGCAACAACAGGTCACGTCAGCCTTCCCTAAATAAAGGAGCTTTGTTTTTTTTAGATGGATGTGATGCAAGCGGGGGGGGGGGAGATTAAACATGCAGATAGTGCCTTCAGAAGAGGACAAACCGTGGGCAGATGATGAATTTTGGTTGCTGTGCACAGCAGCAGGAATTGCTTTGAGCTGGAAAAGCTTGTCTGTGGCATCTGCTTGTTTACCGGTTTTACAATAGCAGGTGTGTTGACATAAGATGTAAGAGCTCATCCAGCCAGGGTGTCAGATTTGATAGCACAGGCACGCAGCTTGTTCCTTATTACCACAAACCTTTGTACCGGCTGTTCTCCGTGTTCCACGTCTCTTTCCCTTCCTTGCCACTCAAGTCCCCTGGTTGGCATTTTCACTGTTAATACTGAAGACGTGCGCTGGATTCATATTTTTTTATTTCTTTTGACGAGTTTGAATATGTGAATCAGGTCCTCGGTGGAATCAGGACTCTTTCTTGTTTAAGATGAAAAGATTCCATTCTTTTAGCCTATCACTGCAGGACAGTCCTTTATATCTGGGAACGTTTCTGGTTGCTCTTCTCTGGACTGTTTCCATGTCTTTTTGGACATGTAGTGTCAGCGCAGTGTTCTGAATGAGGTCTTGCTAGTGGTGAAAACGGCAGAGGTTCTGGCAGTGGTGACTGGGGGGGGCCGAGTCGGGCTTGACAAAGCGAGGGAAGAGGGCAAGCACCAGTGACTACACTCATGCCACCTCCAGGGATTTTTTTTTTTAACGTGAGTCTTGACAGTTTGTCTTCTCGTTCCCTTTAGCTTTTGGCGATTCTGGTGGAAAGGAGTACGTGGGGGAGGGTGGGTAGGGAGTAATTTTCTCCCTCGCTCACAGCTTTATTAGACCATGTGGAAAGGGGGAGGGTGTGCTTAGCAGAGGCAGAATTTTAGGGAGGCAGAAGCTATCGCTCGGCCTCCTTTAGCATCGCCATTACTGACAAGTGGCAACAAAAATTGTTGGCACAGTGGACACTTTACTGCACATTGTCACCGTAAGAGCTTGAGAATTGCTTCCATCACCATCAAGTACATGAAGTAACCTCTATGCTTAGGCCACATGTGCAGTGAAGGGCAATATGAGGATGAAGGTTTTGTTCATCTAATGTCCAGGAGCAGCGTAGTGGTTTGAGTCCCTGCTGTTATATATTAAGGGAAGTACTTTAACCCCCAGTTGCTCCAGTCCACCAGCTGTGTGAATGGGGACTAGCAGTGCTGGGAGCAGGCCCTGACACAGACTGGTGTCCCATCCAGGAAGGGAGTCATGTGATTGCTGTTAACTTAATGCCATGGCAACCAGGGTAAGCGCTGGATCAATGTGGCTCAAATATGTAACTCTGTTTCTAATGTCATTCACCAAGACAAAAACCCATTAGTTTATGTGCTGTGTTTAAACAGTGATGGGCATTTCATTCTTTTTTTTTAAATAAATAATTTGTACCCTTATGTTCTCACCAACTGATACAAATTTTCACACATTTTCACAAACAGAAAACAAGACACAGAATTGTTTTTTCAACTTTATTTTACAAAAGAATACATCTCTCAGAAACATTAAACTTCTCTTACAGGAACTTTCAGAAATTTAAAAAGTCTTTTCTTCCTTAGAAACACATAACCTCATTAACAAATCAACTTGTTAAAAATATCTTCAGAAATAGTACCAGTTATAAAAATCTCTGGCCAATGCCCTGATCATTATTGTGCCATAAGAAATGCTTTTGTTGTCCGGGGTGGGGGGTGGGGATGTCTGCTTCCAGTTTTTGATGAAACAGTTGTGCTAAAAAGCTCTATCCTACAGGACTCCCAAGTGTCAGGGGAAGATGGAAGAGAAAAAAATGTGGATGTGTACTATCTTCCAGAGCCTCTCCTTCCATTATTAATACTTTAACAACATTTATTCTGAAATTGTGTCCTTTGTATCCTTGGTTTTGGGTCGATCTAACTTGAATAGCATAATGAAGTAGGGAAGGAGTGAGTGGTCCTGTAGTTTAGATCCCTGGGTGCTCTGGGTGCTTCTCTTGCCCACCCTGTGTGCCTGATCTGCTGGTGGACTACTGATTTCCCAGGCTGCAGTACACAAGGGGCCAGACACCACCAGCCCAGGATGGTGCACAGTACGTCTCTCCCAGCTGCAGCCTTTAGCGGGTCCTTCACTCCACAAAGTGGACGGTAGGGTGAGAGGGTGTTAATGTTGAATTGCTTTTCGTTTTGCCAATTACAATTTACCAAAAACTGGGAGTTGGTGTCACCTTCACATATGCAAATATTGCATCATGGTTGTCCCCACATATTCCTTGTGCATCTGTCGACGCGCTTGCCAGCACACCAGACCACTCTGACCACGACTGTTTGTGCGAAGGAGTTTTTCACATAGCCGTGCTCTTTTCCATCCCAGAGCTTCATCACAAAGGTCACTGGAACTAAATTATCGGCAGGCAGGAGGCAGAGCGGGTACATCACACGAACGCTCTAAAGCCACAGACTGCTGAGCTTATTAGTTATTACCATGCAGGACGACGGTAGTAAATTGTGCTGCCACAGATGGAGCATATTTCAGCTGAACATTCCACAAGATTCTGTGCAGCAGAACATATTTTCTAGTGCAGGATAACAGTATAACTATTTTTATATAAAGAGCATATTTAAAAAAACGTGAAATAAAACTTCACAATCACATACAGCAAGGTACGACAATCTCATCCTTCGATGACACAAATTCTTGCCCCACTGACTTTTTGGACACAGCAGGAGATGGCAGGAGCTGCTAATGTGGGCTTAAGAGTCATTGCAGTAAAGTTGCCAGTTTCAATTTTTTCATAGGCCAACCAATCCTAGCTGAGATCATGAGCATGAGAGTTAAGCAAACAGATTTCTGTTCTGTCTCTAATCTAGGGTTAGGCACAGCTGCATCACACTGGAACGGTCTTGCAGCACGTGGTCTTTGTGAGCAGAACGCAGCGTGCTTTCCTCTCATCAGCATGAGTGCTCATTGGCCTGTTTCTCACTCTTACGAGGGTCATCTCTGGATCCTTCTGAGTGGAGCTAAGCTGTTGGGGGTCAGTACTTGGCTTTCAGTGAGCTGTGATTGCTTTAACCTGCCCCATGAAGCCTATCCTCAGGTCTATGGTTGCCTGGGGCATCATGGGTGTTGTGTGTCCTGGGACACTCAAGCACCCATTAGCTTTAGTTTCCAAAGCAAGAAGATGAACCACATGGTATCAAATAGTCTTCACGGAGTTCTCATATTTGTAATGTAATAGCATAATATAGCCTATGTTTAAGCATATATGTTAATATTATTGCAAAAAATGTTAAAATCAAAATTGATGATGTCATGGTGTTTCAAAAGCGGAGGGTCTTGTTGGGTGACACGCAGGCCTGCACACAGCAGAGTGAATGCCAGCTGTCCTGTCTTAAGTGCACCAGCAAGCATCTTCATCAACGGAGTCTGCAGGAGCTCATGGAGGGCTGGCACGGTTTCCCATAGCAACGACTTCAAAATGACAGTGGGAGTTTTTCTGAAACAGCACACATCTCTAGTCTCTTCTTTCATGCAGGGTTGCAAAAAACAAGGCCAACTCTTGTGAAGTTCCCTCCAACGTACCTCTAGTAGATGTTTTACAGTCTTATATTTAAAAATGAATAAAAGGGCAATTGGGAAATGGCATAGCCATAGCTTCATTAGTTTTTGTCTCTATAAATCTAAGGTGGCACTAAACTGAAGACACTTTCTCTAAAGCTCATTTTTTCCCACTCTTGACATGCTACCAAGAGACATGCAAGTTCTTCTCTCTTTACAGGTGTTTAATTAAATTGTATTAATGCATTTCAGAAATTAACCCCCTTTTCAGCCTATTGTGACAATGCTGTGCTCTTCTAGAGTTTTGGTGGCCCATTTCCAATACTTTCCTATACATGTAGCTCTCTCGTTGGACCCTGGGTAAAACCGAGCAGACTCCTCCCTTAGATCTTTCCTGGTCTCTTCTCACTCTCAAACAGCTCTTTGGATTCTTCACCCTTTTCCTGATCACAATCTTTGCCTGGTGGAAAAGAGTTTTCCAACTTCCTTATTCAGTGGTGCTCAGTCCACTTTCTTCGCTCTTTTCTCACTACACTATTCTCCACTACTCTTCTGCTGACTAATCCTGTTTGGCCAGAGGCTCTATACCAGCTCATGGTGTCCCCACACAGCAGCAGCTGGTTTCCTATTACTGCCCTTTCTTCACTCCTTCAGCTGCCGTTTGTCTGAAGCGCTTCAGACCGTGAAATGATTTCCATTAGAAAGGTGGTTAAGTTCATAGAGAGCCTTCTCTTTTCCCTCCCGTGTAGAGACTCTTCCTCCTTCATCTGAGGTGTGAAGATCTGTCAGTGCTGCCCTGCCAGGCTGTCTCTCACTCCTCCAGGTGCTGTCAGCCGTGATCTAGCAACCCAACACTATTCCTCAGCATCGCACTTCTATACCACTGAGCCTGGAAAACAAGCTGCCACGCCACCACCACCCCAGAAGCTGTGACACACCTCAGTACAGCAGTCACCACACCTTCCTCAAGTTACACCTGAGCTCGTTGGGTCTCACAGGCCAATCCTTGTCTAGCAAGAACCCCTGTGAAGCTCTCACTCTCCTTCCTGACTGGGGTCGAGATGTAGACTAAATCTTTCTTCGAAGCTGGACACTGATTACCTTTAAGAGGGGTGGCTAATTTCATAGAGATCCAGTACCAACAGCTTTTTTCCCTCCTATGGAACTCCCTTCCCTTTATACTTACATAACCCAGCTTTTGAGCCTTCCTCATAGAGCCACCACTCACTACATTACATACATGTAATGAATTTTCACTAGAAAAGCATGCCATGCCCATATTGCCACTCCTGCCCATAATCCCTAGCACAGCCCTTTTGCCTTATTTGTACAGTATAATTTGTTGTGTACTGTACTCGGTGTACTTGGTGTATTACCCATTTTTATGAGACTTTGTCTCAAAATATCTTACCCTCCTAGCACTTGTCAACTTGCTGTATCTAAAGGTAAGAACTCTTGACAGATTATAAATCTCAATATGAAGCCAGACATTATGAAAAAGATGAACAGGCTGAACACTTCAAGGACACATCCTGTTGCCAAATAGATTTGCTATATTCTCGGGTCTCAAATCCCTTTTTCCTTTATATTTTGTCTTAATTAGCACTGTTTATTTTAAATTAGTTACTGTTCAATACAATAAATGCATATATGTGTACTATAAAATTTCCTTTCTTTTCTCTAATTTATCACTGTAGTGTCTCAGGTCACCATACCATATAATTACTGCCTTTAAATTATTAGGAGATTCATTTTCATTTACCAAATTTTCGCTCAGCAGTTTACCTTTAAGAAACGCAACTCTGAAAATGAGGATTGGGGGTTTCCTGTAACATAAATATGTGCGTGCAATGTGCTATACGCATCCACACAAAATGGGCTGATCCAGCTTAAAAAGCAGGCACCAGGCCTGAAGGAAAAGCAAGTTTCACTGTGGCTAGCCTTTGTGGTCGGCTCTCGGCTGACGCAGCGATGACTCACGACCCCCGTGCGCCTCCTCGCTCAGAGAGCAGGGCGCCTGCTTCAGGTTCTGGCAAGGCAAGGTCATCCTTTGCCGTACTCGGGAGTCAAAGCAAAAGAACTAGCAAGCAAGATGAAGTCTGCCACCACAGTCCATATCCAAAGAATTAGCCCACACTTATTACATAGTGCAAGTCTATGCGCAGTATCCTGTAAAACAAGCGTTATCGACAATGTTGAGCGTGGGGAGGGGGGAATTTCTCTTCATTGCCGAGTAGCACATGGCTCATATTTATTGCTGAAGAAGGGTGACATTGCTTAAGAGTTTATTTGGAATCCCAAAGTCACATGTTTATGACTGGAGTTCCCCCAGTGAGAGGAACAGCTGCCCTGTGATCATACAGGAAGCCCTGCTCTGGGGCAAGAGCCTCATCGCCACCAGGGTTTCCATGTCTTGAGGCATGCAGTAGTCAGCAGATGGCCATGCTGACTCCAGCACAGCGCGTGTGAAGGACACCAAGGCCGATCTCCTTCTCCCTGGAGAGACAGGCGATGGCAGGGTATTGGCTGGGATGAAGACCGTGAAAGGCCTCAACAGGATCCTTGTCCTGCTTCCTTCAGTACCCTCATCCCGTCCACCGCTCTGAAATCTCCTCCTCCAAAACACACAGCTGGCACAGAACAGCCACTTTGAATATCCAATACTGTCTTTGGGAAAAAGAAATCAAAGGTTTGCATCAGAATAATGTATTTACTACAGACTTGCCATCTTATTCACCCAACCCTCTTGGGGGAGACCTCCCTGTTCACCCAGACACCTGTCAGTCTTTTGTAAGCAGAGAACAGACATATCTCTCTAGCTAAGCCTCCCTTAAATGATGAGACACTGCTACTTCCGTTTAGTCCAGATTACTAGGAGGTACTCTGTATAGGGCAGCACTGTCGGTTTCTGGGTTCATAAAGTTTAAACTCCCGGTCCCACTCATCCCTCACCAAACCAGTTGATAACAGAGAGTGTAAAGGAAGCTCTCTCTCACACTTCATCACTCTTATTTCCCTACAGTTTTCATATGATTAATTCCTTTTAGTCAAGCACTTCAAGATACAACAGCATGATAAGAAGCTATTCAAATTAGCATGCGCCACAATGACCGTCCGCCAGGATTTAGGAGGGGAAAAGGTTTCAGTATCAATTTGACTATCCCGTGTAAGACGTTTCCTGCAAAAAGCCTTTTACTTAAAACAGTTTTGCATTTGATAAGGACCAAAGACATGACTCATGAAGCCATGCGTATCCTCTCCAGAAAAGTGAATCATTTTCTTTCAAGCTGACAAATGTCTTGATTAATCAATTCAACTCTCTCAGCTGCCCTTCAATTTGAAGTGTTAATCACTTTTGTCTGTCTCATTTTGACCTCTAAAAATTAAGAAGCCATTCCCTAACCAGAACCAGGATGGATCCTCTAATGGATCGACAGACCATCAAGAAACACAAAAGAAACATTTTGATGACAGTTGAGTTCTGAGGAGACTAGGAAGTCCCATGTGGTTACATATAGCCAAATTCAAAGTCCAGGGTTGACCCACAGGGAAAGTTAAACAAGATACATTACCATTCAACTTGGCTAACATCCATACACATATTAATTCTTATTAATATTAAAGTGTTTTCTTGAATGAATCTTAAGACGAACTGAGCTGAGAACATGCAATTCTCAATGGTTTCCTTTAGCGCTTCAATACTGTTTGGTTCTGGGCTGTAAATCCGGCGTCCTTCCCCCCTCAAAAGTAACGTTTCATTCCGTCAAGTTTGCGTAGTCGAGGCAGACTTGCGATAACCCAGTTTAACTTTTTCCTCTGGCTTTTCACCTGTCTAACTACATTACTGACCTGCAGGAGCTGAGCGAAAGATTGTATTCCATCGCTCTAAATAACTAATATGTATGATGTATTTTTTTAAATTTTTATGATGATCATAAACAATCAAATGGTTGCATGGAAAAAAAGGTGTGGGGACCTCCTGAAGAAAGCTGGCTGTGTGATCAGCGCCTCCTCAGGAAGAAAGGGACAGACTGTTCACCTGCAGGGTCATTTTGTGGCCCTTTTTAAAAACAAAATAGATCGGTTTTACAGTTCAGCAGAAGTGGCCCCAGAATGAAAAGCCTGCTGCGCCGTGTTTACACCAGCTCTATACCAGCACTTGTCTTTCCACTGCGCTGCAGTCCCAGTTCCTGCCCTCCCGGCAGGCCTTCCAAGAGCTCAGATGAGGCCCGGGGCCATTTCACATTGTGAGGCCCCCTCATTGTTTGGGAAGAGGGGTAAAAAATATTTTAATGTAAAGAATGGCATGATGGGAAGATTAAGGCGGGCTTTCTGAAAGTCCTTAAGAATGGAAGATTCAGCACTGAAGGAGCCGTGACCTTTAGTCGAGAATCACAGTATATGGTAAAAGTTCCAAATTCGACTCGATAAAACACAGCCAAGGCTTAAAGTGGAGGACCGTGCACCATTGGCTGAGGAGAGGCCAATGGTGCACCGTGCACCTGTGAGGGGAGGCCTGGGCTATTTGGCCCTGCTGGCCCCCCCTCTAGTAGGGCCTGCCTGTAAGATAGGGCTGCTAGGGCAATAGGATCCTATGCAGGACACAAGACAAGAGAAAGACACAAAGCAGAAACGCTAGGCAAAAACGATAACCAGGAGGCAAGAGAGTAGGTCGGAACACAGAGAGACAAGGAGGAAGCAACAATCCAAAAAACACTAGGCGAAATCAAATCCAGGAAGCAGGCGAGTAGTTCAGAACACGGAAGCACAAACGAGGAAGCAGCAATCCAAATCACAAGGCGAAACCGAAAACGAGAAGCAGGCTAGGATATCAAAAACCGGAGAGAAGCAAGAGGTAAACGCGCACTAGGGAGCTCGAAGAGAATCCGCAATAGTGAGAGGGGAAGTGAGGAAAAAGGAGAACTAAAATAGAGACGGGAGAGAAAAGTGATTGGTGTTTACTTGCGGCGTGAGCTTGTTTTACAGGCTGTGCGCTTGAGAATGCAAGAAGGGAGAGCAGCGCGAGTGGAATGCGTAACAGTACCCCCCCCCACAGGGTCAGCTCCTGACGACCTGACAGCTGGCGTGGGATGGGTGTGAAGGAAGTCTCGAATAAGGTTTTGGTCCAGGATATCCACTTCAGAAACCCAGGAACGTTCTTCTGGACCATAACCCTCCCAGTCAATCAAAAACTGGCGGATACCTCTACGCCATCGGGTGTCCAAGATCTTATTCACAGTATAGGTGGGAAATCCATCCATCAGTCGGGGAGGAGGTGGGCGAGGTTGCCGAGCAGAAAGTGGGGATCTGTGGTAAGGCTTCAAGAGGGAAACATGGAAGGTGGGGTGAATCCTGAGGGTGGGGGGGAGGGCGAGGCGGTAAGAAACAGGGGTAACACGGGATAGAATTCTGAAAGGGCCAATGAAGCGAGGACCCAGCTTGCGGGAAGGTTGCTGGAGTGGAATATTCTTGGATGACAACCAGACGAATTGGCCTCGACGTAAACGGGGAAAGGGGCGTCGGAGTCTATCAGCAGAAGTCTTCTGTCTCCGAGAGGTCTTAAGCAGAGCAGTCCTGGCCTTCTTCCAGAGTTCTGGGAGGGAAGAAAAATATGCCCGAACAGCAGGGACATCAGAGTCGGGAATAGTGTCGGGGAAGAGCGAGGGTTGATAGCCCAGTGAACAGAGGAACGGAGACATATTAGTGGAGGAGGTATATAGAGAATTGTGGGCATATTCAGCCCAGGGGAGAAGGGAAGCCCAGTTATCATGGGCAGCGGAGACATAGGACCTGAGGTAAGTCAGCAGGTCCTGGTTAATCCTCTCCGCCTGACCATTGGCTTCGGGGTGGTAACCAGAAGTCAGGGAGGAGGATGCCCCTAAGGTCTGGCAGAAAGCCTTCCAAAATTTAGATATAAACTGCGGACCTCTGTCTGAAAAATATCCTTTGGAATGCCATGGAGGCGGAAAACATGTTGGACAAAAAGGTCTGCCATCTCCCGGGCTGATGGGAGGGCTGGAAGAGGAACAAAATGCGCAGCTTTAGAGAGACGGTCGATGACCACCATGATTGTTGTTTTACCGTGGCTTTTCGGGAGATCCGTCAGGAAGTCGACCATGAGATGAGACCAAGGCCGTGAAGGAATGGGAAGAGGTTGTAAGAGACCAGCCCTCTTCTGCCGAGGGGTCTTGCTCCTAGCACAGGTGGGGCAGGCTCGTACGTATTCTGTTACATCAGACTTTAGTGAAGGCCACAAGAAGTCCCTGGAAATGAATTCGATGGAACGACGGGTGCCAGAGTGAGCAGCGAAGCGGGAGTCATGGCCCCATTGAAGAACTGCGGAGCTGAATCAGGAACAAAGAGTCGGTCTGGGGGGCACTGGGGAGGAACTGTGAGGTTCTGGAGAGCCCGTCTCACCTTGTCCTCGATGTCCCAATGTACAGCTGCGAGGAACCTGTCAGGCGGCACAATGGCCACTGGAGGGTCTTCGGAGTCTGTGGGGTCGTGAAGGCGGGAAAGGGCATCAGCTTTGAGATTCTTGGAGCCTGGGGTATAGGTAATGAAAAAACGGAACCTGGAGAAGAACAGGGACCACCTACCCTGGCGGGGGTTGAGGCGTTTAGCAGATTGCAGGTAGGCCAAGTTCTTGTGGTCAGTGAGGATAGAAAAGGGATGGATGGCCCCTTCCAGCCAGTGTCTCCACTCCTCCAAGGCAAGCTTGACGGCCAAAAGTTCCCTGTTCCCAACATCATAATTAATCTCGGCAGGGGATAGGCGTCAGGCGTCTTGAAAAAAAGGCGCACGGATGGAGCGTGCCCTTCGGACCATGGCGTTGAGATAAAATGGCACCAACCCCAAGAGGGGAAGCATCGACCTCGAGCACAAAAGGAAGAGAGGGATCAGGATGACGGAGAACTGGGGCTGAGGAGAAGTTCTGCTTGAGACGAAGAAAGGCCCTATCAGCCTCTGGGCTCCACCTTCCCTGTCCAGGACCTTTAAGAGTAAGGGAGATGATGGGTGCTACAAAAGAACTGAAGTTACGGGTGAAATGGCGGTAAAAGTTGGCAAAGCCTAGGAAACGCTGCACTTGTTTCAGGTTCTTGGGTGTGGGCCAGTCCAGGACAGCAGAGACCTTAGCAGGGTCCATCTCAACACCAAGAGAGGAGATTATATATCCTAGAAAGTGGATCCTGGACGTATGGAAAGTACACTTCTCCAACTTGGCATAAAGATGGTTATTGATGAGTCGGGTGAGAACTTCGCGGACGTGAAGGACATGATCATCCATGTTGCGAGAAAAAATTTAAATATCATCAAGGTAAACCAAAACATACTTCTGAACGATGTCCCTAAAAATGTCATTAATAAAGCCCTGGAATACAGCAGGAGCATTAGCCAGGCCAAAGGGCATGACCTGATATTCATAATGACCAAGAGTAGTAATGAAAGCTGTCTTCCACTCATCACCTTCACGGATGCGAATGAGGTTGTAGGCACCCCGTAGGTCAAGTTTGGTGAAGACAGAGGCGTCAGATTCATTAAGAGAAAAAGGGTAGATTCTTCCTCTCGGAGGGAGGGTTCCAGGCAGTAGGTCAATGGCGCAATCGGAGGGACGGTGTGGCGGCAAGGAGAGTGCTTTTTGCTTGCTGAAGGCGAGGTGCAGGTCAGAATATACAGAAGGGATTCGGCTGGTGTCCTCCTGGGAGATGTGAACCGAGGAAAGTCTGAGAGGCAACTGCAGACAATGATGATGACAATTGGGTCCCCAGGCGAGTAGTTCACTGTTGGACCAGTGAAAGTGGGGGTTGTGCATCTTCAACCAAGGGTATCCAAGAACCAGAGGGTGGGAAGGAGAGTGGAGGAGTAGGAATTGGATGCTCTCAGTGTGGAGGGCGCCAATGCGGAGAGTAAGGGGAATTGTTTGCCATTCAACAAGAGTGAGAAGGGATCCGTCCAGGGTGAGGAGGCGAATAGGGGGAGAAACAGGGATGCGAGGAATATTCCAAGTGGTGGCGAGTCCGGAGTCTAGGAAGTTTTCCTCTGCGCCTGAATCTACAAAAGCCAGAAGAGATTCTTTGAATCCATCCCCTGAAACCAGTGCGGGCAAAAAGAGGCCAGAAGAGGCAGAAGGGGCATGAATACCGACCTTGACAGAGGGCAGGGAAGTACGGGGGGGCAGAGAGGGCATGAAGCTCGGAGATGGCCGGCAGCCCCGCAATAAAGGCAACAACCCTGAGAGAGTCGGCGGCGTCGCTCCTCAGAAGGCAGCCTAGAGAAGGAGGTCGGGCGGGAGGTGGCAGGAGGGGGTAGAAGCCAGGAGCGTTGTTCTTGGAGCCTGATGTCAATTTCAGCCAGACGGGAGATGAGGTGCTCCAAGGAGGGAAAGTCCAATGGGAGATATGTGAGGTGGTCCTGGAAAGCAGAAGACAAGCCCTGGCAGAACTGGTGGGTAAGAGCCTCTTCATTCCAGGGGACTTGGGAGGCCAAGAGGCTGAATTCCATGGCATAGTCTTGAAAAGAATGGGAACCCTGGGTGAGAGAGGTGAGTCAGGAGATGGCAATATGGTGGGAGTGGAGCTGACCAAAAATGGACTGCATGGCAGCAGCGAACCGGTTGACATCAGCAGTCACGGGGAGATTCCGAGCGAGGAGGGAGGTAGCCCAGTCCAGGGCTCGACCGGAGAGGTGGGAGACCATGAAGGCAATCTTCTCTCTCTGTCAGAGGGAAAACAGTCTGGTCGAAGGTGGAAGGCCATCCAGCACTGGGTTAAAAAATTCTGAAGCTTTTTGCTGGGTCACCATCAAATTTCTCTGGGGTGGGAGGGGGCAAGGGGCAAGCAGCAGCAGCCAGGGGAGGGACAGGCACAGGAGCCACTGGAGGGGGTGGTGGCCGGGTGGTGTGGTCCACTAGGCGTTGAACTGCAGTGGTCAGTTGTAGAAGAGCCTGGGACTGCTGTTGCAAAAAGGTGGTGGTGGAGTTCTGGTCCGCTGGATCCATGTCGGCTCACTATTCTGTAAGATAGGGCTGCTAGGGCAATAGGATCCTATGCAGGACACAAGATAAGAGAAAGACACAAAGCAGAAACGCTAGGCAAAAACGATAACCAGGAGGCAGGAGAGTAGGTCGGAACACAGAGAGACAAGGAGGAAGCAACAATCCAAAAAACACTAGGCGAAATCAAATCCAGGAAGCAGGCGAGTAGTTCAGAACACGGAAGCACAAACGAGGAAGCAGCAATCCAAATCACAAGGCGAAACCGAAAACGAGAAGCAGGCTAGGATATCGAAAACCGGAGAGAATCCGCAATAGTGAGCGGGGAAGTGAGGAAAAAGGAGAACTAAAATAGAGACGGGAGAGAAAGGTGATTGGCGTTTACTTGCGGCGTGAGCTTGTTTTACAGGGTGTGCGCGTGGGAATGCAAGAAGGAAGAGCAGCGCGAGTGGAATGCATAACACTGCCTCCTGGTTGTCTCTCAAGAGCCGTGAGCCATTTTATCTGCTGTAAAAAGCCTTCAGCAAATCCAGCAAGATCTTTCCAGTGTGCAGAAACAAGGTTAAAAGCCTTCTAGAGAGCAGGCCTAATTATAATTAGTGGTTATCGAAGCTGCGTGTAGTCCCTGGAGAGAGAAAATGCTATCCCCTCACTCTCTGGTACTGTGTGAGACAGCCCTCACTCCTGCTGTTTTTCTACTGTAGTTCTCTGTCTGTCAGAGAAGTAAAATCCAGATAAATGTTCGATTTCATCTGCTCACAGCAGGAATATCAAAACTGCAAGGCAACTTTGCTCCCAAGTTTTCTGCATGTACTTTAGAAATGTCTAAAAGTTTAAAAGGTAGTATATAACCTAATAAAAATATTTGTAATATCAGTAGGAAAATCAGTAGCTGAGGATAATCTGGCATTAGAAGAACACTTAACAGAATCTCTCAAGAGATAAAAAAAACCCCGTTGCATTTGGCACAAATTTGATATTTTTAATAATTCATTACTTTCAGAATTGAAAGAGAAGTCGATGCTATCAATTATACTTCCCCATCTTGACCAAGAGGTGGACCAAGGTCACAAACAACAAAGAGACCAGGCACAAAACAACACAAGGTAGTTATTGCTTACCTCTCGTCTTGCTGTCATGACAACGGGGCCAGTTACTGGGGTCTGTCCAGCGCCACTTGCAGGTTAGTCAGGCTTACAGCATCCTTTCATGTCAAGCCCTGGGCTGTGACGCAGAGATGTCAGAGTTTCATCTTGTGCACACTGCCTTTTGGACTGAGCTGTCTGGAGGCAGACAGGCTGGGGTCTTTAATACAGCAGGAGAGATGGGGTTGACAGGGCAGGACCAGTCTTGATGGGGTGAGAAGCAGGGCAATCTTGCTTGGCCTCTAGACTTTAGTGCCCTAATCTGCAACTTCAATTGGCCCTAAAGGTGGAGGGTGAAGGGAAAAAAAACACGTATCCGCAAATAAAGCAGATTACTCCCCATGGTCCTTGATCCGTCTGAAGTCGCTTTATCCCAGACATCCATTCCTGTTGCAGCCCGTCTACAGCGTAGAGTGGAGAACTTTGTATTTGAAACTGAAGGCGACCTCCAGCTTCACTGTGGTCACAGTTACAGCTGCCCTGTTTCCTCCTGCCCCCCACCAGCTGCACACTCACGACCCTGCCTGGTCCCATGTCCCCTGCACATCGAGAGCAGTGGCTGAACCAGGGAGAGGCATGTTCTCAAAGGGCATTTCAAGGGGTTAACACTGATTTCCTCACTCGATCTCCTTCCAATGGAACAGCTTTTCAAAAAAAGATGTCAAATCCCCGCTCCAAGTCAAAGTTAAACCACAATAGGTACCAGTTATTACTATGCTTATTTTTTAGTTTTGAATATTTAAGCATTCTACATGAAATATACAGCAAGTACAAAAATATTTACAAATCAAGCAGCTCATAATTTATTGTTTAAAATTGCCTTTTGTTCGGACTTGTATGGTTGGCTGTTCATACGCAGCCATGCGACAGGGTAGCCTTTCCTGGTCTTCTCTCGGACCCTCCTCTGTAAAGCAAGGCTGACTGGTGGGTTTCAGTGCCAGCTGCCCGGCACTCAGCTCCACATGGGACTCCACTGTCCCTCTGTCCCAGTCCAGCACCCGCCCTGCTCCAGCGCCAAGCCCCGAATCCCATGCTCCCCTCCTTCAGGAAACAATCCACACGCAGGCACCACTGCACCTGGAATATGCTGAGGTAGATGTGAGTGGGTCTGGCCATTTTTGTTCCCTCTGAAGAGCACAAGGTCAGGCTCCAGAACAACCCCACCGTGTCTCTTATAACACAACGTTTTTCCAGACTTTGATCTCCTCCCGAGGCATAACCAGAAAAAGGTGCGACAACTTTTTGTAGCTGTTGTCGACTTGCCATTGTCTTGGGAGTTTTATACTGAAATCTGTGAGTTCGGGGCGTAAAACAAACAGCTGGGGCTCAGGCACTTGTACAGCAGGTGGCAGCGGATGATTAAATATAGCAATTAGGCCGCCCCACCACAAGGGGGAGCCGCTCAGACGGCGCTACACAGAACTCTCATCGGGCTTGGCCAGTAACTGGGTGTGCTTCCTCTTCTCCAGGATGCGGTTGAGCTCCTCGGTGAACGAGTGGTAGAGGGGGGAGGTGGTCTCAGGGTCGCTCTGCCGCAGCAGCACGTAGCTGTTGCCGTTCATCTTGCGCAGGACGCTGGGCAGGGTGGCAGAAAGGCCGTTGGCGTACTCCGAGGAGGGCAGAGGCGGCGGGGGCGGGGGAGGCGGCGGCGGCTCCTTGTTCGGGGAGGCGTGGCCCTCGCCCGGGACGATCTGCAGCAGCCCGTCGGCCGTGTCCGCCTCGTGCTCTCGCCTGCCCACGCAGTTGCTGGAGATGGTCTGGAGCTCCAGGTGGGAGCTCCTCTTGGCTGCGCGCGAGTGCAGGGAGTACTTCCCCCGCCGGCTCTGCAGGCAGAAAGCCAGGTAAAGCAGCACCACTGTCAGCACGAAGCACAGCCCCCCCAGCACCACGATCAGCGTGATGTACACGGCCTCCAAGCTCCGGAAGATCAGGTATCCAGGCTGAGAGGGCAGAGGCGCTGGGAGGGTGGGCAGCTGCGGCTCGGAGGAGGGGAGGACCTGGATGGTCGGTGGAGGAAGATCCCGGCGAACCTTCACGGTGTAGGCGGCCACCAGCACTTGGACCCCGTTCTCGGCAGCGAAGCAGCTGTACCTCCCGCTCTGCTCCGGCCGGGCCTCGACGATGAGTAGCCCGTCGGTCCCGATCCGGTAGCCGGAGTCGGTGCCGTACCCCGGCAGGTCGCTGCCGTCCAGCGTCCACTGCGGGACAGCCAGGTTGGAGCTGAGCTCGCACTGCAGCAGCAGGTCGTCTCCCATCAGCACCGAGCGGCGCCTGTGCCCCGCCGACTCTGCGGAGAGGACACAGGAGCAGCACAGTCACCAGACAGCAGCACGCGGAATACAGTGACACGGCAACCTTGCTGTGCTTACACCTGCCTTCCCAAGACAGGCATCATCCTATAGACTGGGCTGTCCTGTCCTCATGCTGGAGGGCTGCTGTGTCTGCGGGTTTTCATTCCAACTCGGCTCTTAATAACTAAACCAGCTGGTTACTGGCTTCACTGGACCAGTTTAGCAGTGTCTCCCAGCTCTATAGGTTCTGCTTCTTTAAAGAGACACACTGACCCTCCAGGACCAGGACTGGACACCCTGTGGACACACTGACCCTGCAGAAATAGAATTGAACACCCTGCAGACACACTGACCCTGCAGGACCAGGACTGGACACCCAGCAGACACACTGACCCTCTTTTTTCTGATGTTGTAATACAGAAGTATTTTTAGTTTGCTTTTAGGAATAGAACAGTAATTTTAACTTTAGTATTACTGCTAATTTGGCTGATGCTTTTATCCAAAGCAGCTTGTACATTTTTACACAGTATTTATACACTGAAGCATGATACTGGAGCAGACTGAGTGAAATGCTGAACCTTGCTCAACAGGATTCGAACCCACAACCTTCAAGTTATTTACCCAGAGCCCTGGCCATAGCCCAAAAGGCTGAATACAATGGAAATATAGGGGTATTGCCCTTTTCCAGGAATTTAATATGTAGTAAATGGGGATTAGAAAAACATACTTACATAAGCTTGCTTTAAAACACATAATGATACATATAGCTTGCAAGCTAAAAATACTTATTTTCTGCAGATTCATTCAATGTGACCTGAAGAAGCACATTTCCATCTTCACTCAGAAAGGTGACAAACTCAGCACAGTTGTTCAGCATCCAAATAAAGATTTGAAATACCACAGAATGGCAGAAACACAGAATCTGAATAAAACAAGGACCAAAGGCTGCAAGTGAGAATTAAGAGCAGGTGTGCTTAGGAATGACATTAAGTAGCACTACTTCACACAGAGAGTTGTGAGTGTCTTGAGCTATTCACCTCACCAAGCTTTTGAGAGATCAGAGGGATCTCAAACATGCCAAGATGAGATTCTTGGTTCATTCATTCATAACAACCCAAAATTAAATGGTCTACAGTGAAAGTAGATATTTGTTATTCCTTCTATAAGATATGTAGTGACACTCTAAGGCTTTCATTTGATCAACTGCAATGATACCTTAAAGGCTGAAGATGAACCACACTGTTTTAAAGCATGACGTTCATCTATTATTCTTATACAGTACTTCTAGAAAAACAAAACTTACAGCAGCAACATTGCAGTGTTTCTAATCACTTTGACCTATGAGGGCTGATATCTGCAATGCAGCGGTCAAGATGCACAAAATGTAAATCCTCTCAAGAGAGGAGAGTTTAATAACAGGCAACTGCTGACTGGAGTTTCACAGGCTCTGACTCCACCACTGAGACTCTCCGCCTGCGATAAAACTCGTCTGGTCTGCAAACAATGGAGTGGCAACTGCATACTATTAAACCCAGTAAAGAACAGCAGAAAACTAGCAGTGCATATTATCAAGACTTCTCTTGATTACTGTGATAACTTCACTGATTACCGATTACCTTATCAACTTGGTGTGATAAGACAGACTTGCTCTGATCTGCACTTACAGTAGATCCACCTCAGCCTTTGCAATTGACCTTAAAGAGATTTGCTATCGCTGGATCTGTTTAAGGAAACAAGGTGCAGTCCACACCAGAGCCACAGTGGCTCACTGGGCCAGAGCTCATGCTGGTTCAGTAGCGTTAAGCGGACTAGAGAACATGTGACTCTCTCCCTATCCATGGAGACACACAATTAGCAAGCTTTCAATATTGTGCACTTTGTTAGGTTAAAAAAAATGTGGGTGGTAAAACATGAAAAGGCTCTCAGGCTCTCAGCCTGTTGTGCAGTCGGGGTGTGATCTCCCCTGCCCTGCAGGGATCACTCTTTCTGAACAAAGGAACAGTGAGCATACCTTCACCTGTGCTGTTCCCACAGCCAGAGTTTCCATTCATGATGTCCTGGGTCAGGCTGGATCTAGAGGAGAACAAACGCAGCTCGTCACACTCCCTTCACTCTGTGCCCTCCCGTACAGTACACACAGACCACGGACTGGGCACTCCTTGTCTTTATGACCCGCCTGGTCAGGTCAGTGGGATGTGGGACGTTCTGCACACCTGACTACAATTCCAGGAATGGTCAGGAAATAGCTGCACAGCTAGCTGGTCTGTAAGTTACCTTCCAAGCAGCAATTTTCCTTTAAAATTGCTTCATGCACATACATAGTTTCATACTTTTAGTCAGTATTGACTGTTTATTATCTGCCTTATTTGGAAATGTCTCTGGGGTGCACTGTTATCTCATTTATTTTCTAAAATGCACTGCTGTGCCAAAGTCTTAAGATACCATCAGGAGTTAACAGTATATTTATGTCATGAGCATTAACAATTTACTGAAAGCCTCCATTAGTATTTTCTGCTATTATAACAGCTTTGACTGTTATTAAAATAGCTTAGTCTTAGGTGAGAAGAAGCCCTGCTTGTCATTTAGCATCTTTAAGTCACACTGATTACATGATCACAGCAACTCTAGCTCATGAGCCAATATGAAGAGCTGTAATAGTCAATCCCTCACACTTACCAGCCACGTCCTACTGACCCATTGTCTGGTGTTCCTCTTTAGACAACCACCAGGCTAAAAGGCTTTTCTGTGATCTCAAGCCCCTGGACAATTAACAGATTCAAATGATCTATACTGTGGCAAAGACCAGCTCAGGACTGGACCAGCAGAGAACAGCATTCATTTCAAAGCCACAGCGCGTCACATTCTGCTCAACAGCCCCCACCTGTTGGTATGCGATGCTATCTCAGAGCAACGGGCCCCGTCCCAGCCGCAGTAAGGATCCCGGGCGAAGATGCAGTTGTAACAGGAGGTATATCTGTGACAGGAGGACAGGGGCAGCTGCAGCACCCCACTGCTGGAGCCCACGTAGATACTCCTCTGGAGGAGGTGGAGAGAGCCGTTATCAAGGAGGACTGGCACACTGGTCAACAGGACGAGGAAGGATCACAAAAGGAAGAAGAATCTAGCTGCCATGAGGCATAATGTGTCTTTTTCATTATTTCATTTGAATCCATGTGAAACCACTGAAGATCCCACATGTTCAACCCAGCCCATATATATCCCATTTGGAGATGATGGATTAATTGCAGTCACTCTAGTTTAAACTCTTGTTTAAAGTCCACTTCTGTGGCCTTGACTGCACTTCTAGTGTTCCACCAGCTGGCCGGCAGTGAGGCGTTTCAGTTTTGGAGGCGTCGATTAATTTGCACGGACCTCATTTTCTTTTTCTGCCATCTCTCAAAAGTGCCTGCGAAACAAAATGACCTCATGCCAATTGCTGGTGCAATAATTTCAATTGTGGGAAAAAAAGTCAACACCTGGTTGCGCTCATGATTGTTCACAGAAATATATCAAAGATAATGATACAGTAACCTTCAAAAAGGAGATAGAGAGCAAATCCATCTCTTCATCCATCTCTTTGGATGAAGAACAGAACAGAATTTCAGGTGCGGAGAGCTGAGTGTGTCCAGACAACTTTCAATTGTTTTTACAGTTTGATATTTCAAGGAAAATATAAGCTTAGGTTTCCCACAAACATGTGGGAATGCCCAATTACTATAGGATCCTGAATCCAAAGAGACACCATCTGGCTGGGACACTGGCTAACACAGTTGCCGCAGTGCTGCTGACTGTAGGGGAGACTCTCAGCTCACCTGGGCCTCAGAGATGACCAGCCTGTCGATGGGTTGCGGCTTTTCAAAGAGCTGCATCTCGTCAATGATGTGCATATGAGGACCGATCCCCACAGCCCTGTGCAGCCAGCCATCATCTGCAGGGGAGCAGGACGTCACGTCAAGACATGAGGACTAGAGCTGGTCACATTACATTCATCCCTGACTGAGGTCTCCTGGAGACTCACCCTCACTGCTGGGTTTCCTTGATCTTTCAATAAATGGAATCCTATCCCTGAGGTGGGTAATAGCGTTGAGTACTGGATTAAAATTTATATAGGAACATATAAAATATCCAGTATATTTTATTTTCAAATGGATAACTTGCTTAAACGCCACCTGTTCAAGGAGGATTTTCTCCTTTTAGCAGTCTAACCTGAGGACACAACTGGAAACTATGTGAAAGTAAATCTAAAACACAGGAGATCCTTCTTTACAAAAAGAGTTGTGGGAGTATGAGACAAGTTACCCAGCTCTATAGTTGAAGCCAATACCCTGCCTTCCATCATGGATGAGATCCATGTCTAAATTAGCTGCTGAATAAGCAAAAGGGCTAGATTGTCTGAATGGCCTCCTCTCGTACATGAAGAGCCCCTAATATATTAACCAAATGCCAATACATTAAGGAAAAATGTGTTATTGTATTTTTAATTAGAAAAAATAGTGGAGAGGGATAAACACTGCAATGCTACAGTGACTTAAAGGACTTAAAGTACTAATAAAATACTGTATGGAGAGACACAGTGTGATTTCAAGATATAGAGCTCACCCAATTAAAAATGGACATTATCCAGAAACAAGCAACTGGCCAATTTCCTTAAAGTATCTTTACACACATGGTAGAAATAGTGGCCTTTTGCATAACCCTTAATGATGCTCTGGACTGGACGAGGAAATACTTCTGAGTTTGGGCCTTTGCGTTGTGCCTCTACCATGTTATCCCAACGATGCAGCTGCTCCTCAACATGGGAAACCTCTAGCGTATGTTTGGACACCCCGTACCCCACCTGTTCCGATGAATAGCATGTCGTAGTTCTGTCCGTCCAGAGCTGTGACTCTGTGCACGGCGATTTTGGTGTAGTCCACGTTCCTCTTGAACAGCAGGGGGCGCTCTTGCTGGGGGCGGACCTGCTGGAACATGAGGGGGTGTCTCCTGACGAAGTTGAGGACGCTGTCTGGGAAGTCCCGCGAAGAGTTGATTCCCCGGGCCCTCAACTCGTTTGTGATGCACTGAGAGGCAAAAGCACAAGGGCTCTCCGGTCAGGGAACAGCAGCGTGACACAGACCTAGCCTGCGCCGACTCGGACGGTCTGGCAACACCAATTTTGTAAACCCATTCTAGTGCCTACACCAGCCACAGAGCTCTGCCGTCAGTATAAAATGAGTCCCTCTGTCAGAGTCCTGCTGTCCTGATTCCAGTGAAGCAGGCTGAGATGAGGTCAGTAGAAATGCTTTACAGTTAGTATTTCAATAAATCTCAACATCAGGCTGGCAAACAACGGCCCAGGTGAACATACAACATGACGGATTTCAACCAGCAAGTCTACAGTATGATAAAGCCTTTCTAAAATAGGACATTTCCACAGGCAGAGATGTGAGAACTCTTTGGCATGGTATATAAAAACATATCTAAAGCTGTGCTTAATGCACATGGACAGGTGTGTTTAGATTTCAGATTTCACTACTCGTGGTTACAGTCTACTATAAGGGGCGGAGGTCATCTGAAGCTGTTAAGGGCTGATAAAAAGCAATGTGTACAATTGTGACGTCAAAATGCCTGAATCCAGCGCTCTTAATTTGCAAACCACCAGTCAATCTCACACTTGAAGAACTAAGGCACACACATGAGCAAACAACCACAGTACATACCCTTGAGAGTATTCAAACACTCACTACTAAAAATATCAAATTCCATAAGGCTCAGATTTGCTTTTGAGTAAATTTGCTTTTGATTTTGAGTAAATCGTTACTTAAATGAAGTAACTTGAAACACTACACACCACGGTAAAACATCAGGCATAAAAAACACAAAGCAAAACAAAATTTCTTGTAAACATAAAATGAACACTGTTACTGAGCTACATGTGTGGGCTCTCAAGTCCTTCATGGTGCCTTCCATGATTTTCACCTTCTCTCTACCTGGAGTTCTGAATAACTGTGAACAACCGAGAGCCACTAATGTCACTAATTTTTATATTTGGGTATGTAATGTTCATGAAGGCATTAAGATGGTGAATTTCCACCTCATTCAAGAAAACCTCTCTGACATTTGTTGAGTAAAAGCATATTAATTACGCTCTCTATGAAACACGGCCTCGTTATGGGTGATGACTCATCCGCTAATCTATCTGCTACTGCTCAGGCGGGAGCCTCTCCTAGGAGGCTGGGACAGTGACCTCACCGAGCCCGGACGAGGTTCTGGGACCTTCCCAGTGTATTCGGTCCACTTCAGAGCGGAGTCCTGGTTCTCCATGTAGGTGCCATCAAAGGCCCTCTTTATGTCCTCAATGGAGTACTGGCAAATTGCAGAGGCCTTGACGTTTTTCCTGCAGGAGAGACAGAAAAAAAGAGTCCAGAGTTAATATTTCTACAAAATACACTTTTCTGCCAAAAAAACAGAAACTTAAAAGCAGAATACTGCCCTGCTGCCAGTATGAAAGTCCACAGTGGATAGAGCTACAGTATTGCAAACATGCCTGTTTACTTGTTCTCCATCTTAAAACTAATTATACTAACTGCCAGGACAATAGTAACAAAAAGTCCAACAGGTAAACTGTAGGCCCCTGATTTTCCATTGCAAATGACCTGGGTTAATCTTTCTGTTGTAAGTGACAGCCTGAGGGTGCAGAGCTGCATTAAAAGCATTGTGACAAGATCTCCTGGAGATCTACCTCATAGTCCTGGGCCTTCTTACACACTTCTGCTTTTCAAAGGGGACATCTGTGACTCATAAGGAAGTTCTCATTCCCTGAAGGCGAGATCAAGTAGACAAAGTATTTGAAAGTTTTGTTTGTTTGCTGTACGTCCGTAATACCTGCCCACACAGGCTTTGCAACAAAGAAGTGAGGCACATTACTATTTTAACAAACACCCCTCCCATACTATAATAACCTGGCTGCGTCACGGCAGAGGCCACCTAACGTTGTCTTAAAGAGCAGCTGATTGTTCTGTAGTTCCAGATCCTTGTCTGCTGAGTCAGCGGCACCTGATCCTTCTCTGGGCTGAGGCCACAACACAGCAGCATGACTCAGCACACACAGGCACCACGGACATCTGACACTACAGGTACTCATGAGTTTCAGTCAGGGCCTGAGTGGTCACTTGTGTGATGGAGACAGAGCCTGGACTCTGGCCAAACCTCCCAAGATCAGGAACAACAGAGTGCTGCTCAGACTTCCTAATCAATTATGCAAAATAACCCTAGTACAATGGCCTTTTGTGTCTCCAAAAAAAAAACCATACATGGACTACAAACACTAAGCTTTTGATTCCAGTTATTTTCTACTTACAAATACCTATGACCTTGTTAAAGATCTATTGACGCTTTCAAAGACAAAATCAAAAGCCAGGCTCTACATTTTAAAATGCCCTCCAAAAACAGAATAGTAGAATTGTTCGGGTTTCTTGCAACACATACTTGGGATAAACATCATCCTTTCACACTAGCAGGATCTGCAAGATGCACAAGGCTGGGCTACTGAATCATATTGCTATTGTTTGTGCCTGCTCCACTCTGTGCTAGGTGTTGTGCCACCTTCACATTATTTATGTGCCATAGCATAGCTGCTCTTAAGTTGCTTTGTGAGATAAGTGTGTGCAGAGTATAGAGGTGCTGGGGAAACTTCACAGCAAAAGATTTTCACTGAGTATGGCAAAAATAAAATTGGTATTATCTCTGGGTATAAAATACTCTTTAAAATGAGCCTAAGCTCCCTATTATGTCACTAAGTCTGGCTTTCCACAGTACAGCAGTCTCCAGAGAGCGGGTTATGAATAAAAGATATCATTCTGCCAGAGGGGGAAAAAGTTGTCAGCAGTTTCTCCCAGTCAACACAGAAACAGGCACAGGAGAAGGACATTGACGTCAGCAGGATTGGGGCCCTTATTATTCTGGACCGGCCAGGGAGTGAGCTCTTCTCTCGGAGGAGAAGGCTAGAAGCTCTTGGTTTAATAAGTGTACCCTTTATTTTTTATCATTATTTTCAAAGTGCACCTTCATGACATTTTTACGACATACCGTACAGATAACATTTACCGCAGGCCCATTAACTTTACATTGTTATGTTTTTTTCCATTTTCTTCTCAGAATCCTGTAGGTTCGACAACTTTTCCTTCAACTTTTGATGGATCTATCCCTCTGTTTGTTCACTAGCTTTATCCATGTGCATCTGAGCTTCTGAGCATCCGCACTCAAGCAATATCACACAGGATATTTCCGTACAACTTCACTCATTTATACATCTAGGCAAGGTACTGAGAAATGGACTTTGCCCATGAGCACAACACCAGCATCCTCTCCAGGATTGGAACCCACAACCTTCCACCTACAAGTCCAAAGCCCTGACGACTCCCCCACACTGATGCCCCATGTCAGTTCCAATGTGTGAATTTCTGTTCTTGTTAGAAAACACTGCTCAAGCTTACAGGGCTTCACAATTCACATCTGTTTGCACTGAGCACCAGGCTGCTGCTGGAAAACATGGCCTGCTCCAGCTCTGGCCTGCCTGCGCTCCATGGGCGAGCAGCTACACCGATCATCCGCGACAGAGTCTCTCGGCAGAGAGGGGTGCTTCATTTGCACTAAAAGTGGGATTTTTCCCACTTCCCACTTCATTCCACAACCCCGTTGTGCAACAGGAAACTCATGGAAAATGAAAAGTGTATTTAATGCAGGGCAGTACTCTAGCCACAGAGCAGTTGAGCAGTGCTGGAAAGCAATATGGGAGTTCCCTGAGGGCTGACTTAAGGCTGTATTTAAGAAAAGACATGGGCAGTAAATGACTGGCAAACCAGCAAACCCTATAGGATTTCTCTCTAGCAACTGAGAACTGTGGAATACAGCTTACAGTGACTGTGTCATTGTCAGGACCACAACGATACAACAGTGAAGTGAAGGAACAGCATCCAGGGAAATGACCTGGCTCTGTGGTAGGATGCCTTCACATCTTGTATTTTGCATTTGTATGCATTCACTACCTGTCCTAATAGACTAAACATGATATACTGCCTTTATGTCACAGTGTCAGCTAAGAATTTGTTGCCAGCAGCCATATCACCCTGCAGCTCACAACTGGCAGCCCACTGAAGCTCAGCAGGTGTGAGCCTGGTCAGTACCTGGATGGGAGACCTCCTGGGAAAAACTAA